GGGGGGTTGGACTAGATGACCCCCAGAGGTCCCTTCCAACCCCTACTATTCTGTGATATTCTGTGAACAAAGGAAGGACATTGTCCTTGTCGCTTCTTGGGCCAACACTAATGCTGTTCTGAAGTTTTACCTTCAATGAAGTCTTTGTTGTGGGGGAAAGAGCTGTCAGGGCTGCCCTGACCACCCTCATGGCCGCTCACATCTTTCTCTTCACCCCTTTTGTGCTGTTTTCAGCCAGAGCTTGTGGTGACCAATAACCTCCTGGACTTGCCTCCGCCATCCCCTCCGAAACCCAAAACGATCGTCCTCCCACCCAACTGGAAGACAGCCCGAGATCCAGAGGGGAAGATCTACTACTACCACGTGGTAACGAGGTGAGCGTTGAGAACGGGGTGTGCGTGGCAATGAGGGGAGCGTGACGGCTGCTGCGGGGTTGGAGTTGGATGGCTCAAGCGAAGGAATTGGGTGGAAGAAAAATGGATGTTCAGCCCGCGGAGTCTCGTTAGGCGCCCGACGAGGTGCTGCTCATTAGCTGGGTGGGTGGAAGGCTCAAAACATTCCTTTGCCCCCATAAATGATGACTCCAGCCGTGTGTTGAGTTGTAACCCGGTGTGACGAACGAGTTTTTTTAATTTCAAGCTCCGTGGAAGGTCTGTATGGGGATCCAGCTCTCTAAAGGGTTAAGCCTGAGCATTTTCTGCTGTGTCCTGACTGTCTTGATGTCAGTTATTGTTTCTTGCACAAGTTTCTCTGCATCAATCAATCTTTTCAATCTCCCGTTTGGGCTCCTTGCTGCTACCTTATGCATCATGAGTTGCACCAGCAGCGGAGCAGGAGACCTTCGAACCCCAGGAAGCAAAAGAAAACAGGCGAGCAGGGGTTGGTGATCACAGAATCCCAGAATGCTGGGGGTTGGAAGGGACCTCTGGGGATCCCCCACCCAACCCCCTGCCCAAGCAGGGTCACCCACAGCAGGCTGCACAGGACCTCGTCCAGGCGGGTCTTGAATATCTCCAGAGAAGGAGACTCCACAACCTCCCTGGGCAGCCTGTTCCAGTGCTCCGTCATCTCAGCCTTCTCTTCTCCAGGCTGAACAAGCCCAGCTCCCTCAGCCTTTTCTCCTAGGAGAGATGCTCCAGTCCCCTCCTCATCCTCGTAGCCCTGGGCTGGGCCCTCTCCAGTAGCTCCTCATCTTTCTTGAACGGGGGAGCCCAGCACTGGACACAGCACTGCAGATGGGGCCTCACTGGGGCAGAGCAGAGGGGGAGGAGACCCTCCCTCGCCCTGCTGCCCACACTCCTCTGAATGCACCCCAGGAGACCATTGGCCTTCTGGGCAGCCAGGGCACACTGCTGGCTCATGGTCACCCTGTCGTCCCCCAGCACTCCCAGTCCCTCTCCGCAGAGCTGCTCTCCAGCAGGTCCACCCCAAGATGTGTGCCGTGGTTGGAAGTCTTGCAGTGGCATGAGGAGACCCAACTGAGCCTTCCCCCTTGGCGAGGAATGCCTCCTTCGTGCATGTTCTGCAACTATACGAGAAGCCACCAAGTGAATATAATGAATCTTGAACTTTTTTGAGGAACACATGCTGGAAGATGTCTTTCAATCCTTTTAACTGTAAATCTTGCGACAGGACGAGGCCAGCAGAGGAAAGGAAATGTCATTTCTCAATGCTTTCTTGTTTTAGTGTTTGTTTTCACGTAGCAATCGAATCGGTCGCAGTCTGAGGTCAGGGATAGTCAGCAGTATCTAGGGAATTCAGTAGCACTCTGAAGCTCGAGGGGGCTGGTTGAAACCCCCAGCGTTTCCTGAGATGTAAAAAGCCTTGAAAGTGGGACAGGGTTTCTGAGACAGGTCAGAAAATTCAAGAAACTCAGACCAGCAGCTCCCTTTGATGCAGGCTTGCAGGGGTTTTCTTCCCGTGCTGAGGAGTGCGCATCCTGGCTTCACACTGGGTTTAGAGATGGAAAATAGATGCCGTGTTAGGTCACCTCCAGACCTAACGTGGGCTGCTGGAGGTCTGTCCTCTTTATGTCCCTCTTGTTTAGCCTGCTTGTGAGTCCTCTCCTGATGGAGAGTCCCGTACTCTCCCTGGTCCTGCGAAGACAGCAGTCTGTCCTGCTGGCCCCCGTTTCTCCTGGCTGCGTTCCTCCCCTGGTCTGTGGTTTTCCTCCTGGGCACCATTTTGTATCTGCTCTTGGATGCCAACGGCTGCCCGTTCCCCTCTTCCCCACCTTGAGGAAATCCAGACCAGTTCTCCCCATCCTTCCCCAGTTTGAGCATGGTGAGACTCTTCCCTCAGCGTTGGCCTGACAAGCCCAAGCAGGCTCTGATGGCATCTTCCGAGCTGAGATGCTTCTGCTGAAATGGTGCTTCCTGTCTGCCAAGGAGAGCCCTGGCCCTGTGTTTAACCTCTTCTACTGTATGGAGGAGCTTCGGGGCATCCACCCATCCATCCTTTCAAGCTCCTGCTCGTTCTTGTGGCTTTTCTCAAGACCTTTGGTCTGCGTCCTTTCCGTGGTGAGATACCTGTGGCTGAACGCTTGGCTCGAGGTGCCAAGGGTTGACCCTTGCTCCTCAGGAAGGAGTACCTGCCCCAAGGTCTCCACTGGGATGTCTCACCGACCTTTATTTCATGCCTGTGACGAACTTCCCTTGATCCCACGTTGAGTGTCACGATAGAAAATCGTGGAGATTCCCTTTTCTAAAGTTCTTCTTGCTTGGAAGAAGAACTTGGAAGAAGAACTTGCTTGGAAGGCTTCTCTAGCCTTCTCCAACTTAGAAGCCTGCTCAGAATTCATCATTAATAGCAAGATAGGGGCATGGGTTGCACCCAGGTTGAGTTTCGATGACTGATGGAGACCAGATGTCGCAGCTCATGGGACAATCAGTGAGCAGGTACCAGTTACTTCTAAGAGGGTGACGGTGGTCGGTCTGTCTGTCTTCCTCCAGGCAAACCCAGTGGGACCCTCCTACCTGGGACAGCCCAGGGGATGACGCCAGCCTCGAACACGAAGCTGAAATGGACCTCGGGACCCCAACATACGACGAAAACCCCATGAAGGTAAGCGCTGGGTCAGCGAGGGAAACTCAGCGTTGACATCTCTGAGGTGGACCATGGGATTAATCCTGCCCTGCGGAGCGGGAGCAGCGAACGCCGAGGGTGTTGGTGGGGTCAGTACCGACCTGGGGGGATGACGGAGGGACTGGGGTCACCCAAGATAAGCCGTAGTGACTACACTGACCATAGGACCACTGGGGTTTTGTGCTTTAAAATAGTGGTAGAGGATTAATGACCTTAAGGTGTTGTTTTCTTGCCACTCCGGGTGAAATACGCCGCGCTGCCCGGTAGCCGCTGAAGAGCAGCTTCCCCCGGTCGCTGCCCGGTTTTGCCCTGGTGCCAAAAAGTCGAGCAGAGATTTTCGCGGTGCTCTCACCTCGCCGTCCTTCCGGGCGCTGGCTTGGCAAAGGTCACAGAATCACAGAATGGTAGGGGTTGGAAGGGCCCTCTGTGGGTCATCTAGTCCAACCCTCCTGCTG